CGCGGGAAGCATAGAGGAGGATGCGGAGGCGGCAACGGGCGGATGGGGCACGGACGCACGGTCGCTCTTCCTCGCTCGAGACGGGGCGTCGGCCGGCGTCCTGCCTCCCGCGCGTCAGCGCGTGCGCGGCCGGCGGCGCCGAAGTCGCGGTCACGGGGACGGGCCAGGGCGAGTCGCGAGTCCGGACAGCAGGGGGAAGGTGCGGGGCCGCTCTGCTCGGGGGTGGGGCGCTGCAGGGCTGGCGTTAGGATTCACTGGTAGTCGTGGGCTGGGCTGGAAGATTCTGCTCCCTGAATTGAGCCCACGGGGGCCGTCCCCCCCCCCCCATCGAAGAAGGGAAGGCAGAAATAGCATGTGTGGTAGCTGGTATAGGCGGAGTTAGCTAGGTGGACATGTGGTCCAAGTTAGCTAGGTGGACATGTGGTCTATGGACCACACTAAAATTTAGTAAAGGTTAAATTATAGTAGATGACCTCTCTAAAATCATAAAAAATGTATATGAATCACTCTATAATTTAGTTTTACATCTAAAATGGACCACCCTTACTCTAGATCCTAGTTACGCCCTAGTGCTATTCTTTGCACCCGCTAGGGTTTCTCCATTACTCTCTATAGATTCATAATAGACCTACATTCGAGGAGGCCTTGGAGGTGCCGTACCAACCAGACAGTCGTGAGGAAGCCTTCACTATAGGTGTGTTTGGTTACGTTTCTCCAGCAAACCTGGCTAAGAAAATAAGCCAGGCTTGAGATAGCCTATTCAAGTCAATGCAACCTGGCAGTGTTTGGTCGTCATGTGCTACCTAAGCCTGGATAAGCTAGTTTTATTTGGTTGCTTGGATTATGTGGTGTTGTTACCTCTTCTCTACGATGACCTTACCTCCATCACCTTCATCTTCTCTGTTCATCTCGTCGCAAAATCCATCCATGAGAACAAGAGAAGAACAAGGAGTTCATTTCGACAGTGGCGGCCGATTCGCCGTGAGGTGCCCGCCGACGAGGCCGCGAAGGAGGACGACTAGATGCAAGCCCTCGCTAACGCTGGCTCCCAAGCCTACAGATCTTAGCGGCGATTGGTCGGAGGCTAGGTGGATGACCATCGTGGGAGGTCGGAGGTCAGAGGCCCCTGTAGATCTGTTAGCGAAGTCGGAGGCGAGGCGGGTTGCGAGGTCGGAGGCGAGGTGGAAGCATGGTTTCCTTTATCGGCCGAAATCTCCTTATATTTCCGATATATCCTTTTTATCCGTGGTGGCGAAATTCAAATTAATTTTTATTTGAATTTGGTCCGATATTTCCGATATATCCTGTTTATCCTCTTTATCAGTGACCCCCGATAAATTTTAATTTCAGAAAATGAAAACCTTGGGTGGAAGACGCCGGCCGGTGGCACCTCCTCAGAGGCTACGTCGGTCCTCCGAGCCGAACACTCCTCCAAGCCTCGCCGGTGAGGAGCAACGCATCAATGGCGGCCGACGGGAGCAGCTCGAGTACGGAGAAGATGGAGGGGCCACGGCGCGCGTCTGCGACAGCGAAGAGGAAGTGGAGCGGCGGCGCGTGGATGCGTGAGAGCGAGGAGGAGCCGCGTCTGTGCGAGTCCCCATGCGAGAGGTGACGCGAAGCGAGCGTGGAGGTGGAGGGAGGCGGCCGGGGCACTGCTCAAGCACAGCCAGCGAAACGCCCACTCCACCGCTTCCAAGCAAGCTGGCTAAGTGCCCATGAGTGGCTCGCTGGGGCCTGGCTTTGAGGCATATTCAGGCAACCAAACCGACCCAAGTTGACTCCGTGGAGCCTGGCCAGGGGTAAGCCAGGGAACCAAACCGGCCCTATGAGGCTATAGGAAGTCAATGTTGTTGATGAAGAACCATCAATATGCTGGTGACTTCATCGATCTCGAGGATTTGTTAGCCCAATCTTCAAAGATGCTCATAGAGGTAGGATTCACGCGTGCGTGCGTTCACAGGGTTGAGTGTGCATGCATGCGTTGGGAGTGGAAAAAAAATGTGTTGTGAAGCACCGCTGTTTACTTCATCTAGGTACAAGGAGTCATGTGCTAGATTAGCCTTCGAGGTGTAATCATGATGACATCTACATGTACCAGTTTACTGGTATTTGAACTATATTCTTGCGTTTTCAAAAAAAACTATATTATTGCAATCTTTATAACCTCTGACTGTGCTATGTGTACATGCATAGCTGTGATCCAAGTCTATAAAAATTGCACTGGCATTACTTTTCTGTCTTGCTTGTTCAATTCTCGGAGGGGTACAATTCCAGCATAGCTGCATCTAGATGAGCTCTATCAACCATGGAACGTGAAGCTAACAGATCTTGCAAAAGCAATAGAGTGATAAGAGTAGGCATTTATTCGTGGAGTACATTGTAGATCGGAAAGTGTGATAGGCTGGCCCATGGATGTGGAACCCTTGGGGGCAGAGGAGGAAACAGGTCGAAAGGACGTTTGGTTCAAATACGGTAGTGTTTTACAATCTCAAATTACCAGTGAATATTTTGTGCAACAGAATATTGTGTTACCTGACCTCATGTATCATGTAAGAGAATATTTGGTGTTACCTCACCTTACCAATCATCCTTCAACTGACTTCATGTAAGAGAATATTTTGTGTCACCTCTACCAGCCATGATTCCGTCATGTAACGATGGGTTATTGCCACTTGGCAAAGAGCAGATCTGTACATGTATCAATTGCCAAATTCTTGCTTGCCAACATATAGCAACATTACGAATCTAAACATGTCATCTGTACAATGATTACATTTCATCTACAAACAGATCTCAAACACTACTCACTGGTACTCTGGCGCAGCAGTTCAGAGCTAGGTGCAACACATCCCGTGATCCAAATGAAACATACCGTGTATACCTGTCTACCATGGGACCCTGCTGCTTAGCTTCCAGCATTGATCCCAAAAATCCGAACCTTGTGCATGTTTGGTAGTTTGGCAACAACCAGCACGGTGACTGCTAGGGTGTTAAGGAAGAGCATAGGATGCTGATAGTCTGTGGTGTGGGAAGCTATGAGGTACCTGCCGAACAGAGCAATCATCCCTATATTAGTGCCACAGTCCATTCCGTCTCTCTGACATAAAATTAGATTGTGTGCGTGTGGGGGTGCAGGGTGGAAAACTGCTACTCCATGTATTATTGAAAATTCTATAACCTTTTCTTTTGAATAAGTGAAATTCCATGACTGATGCACATCAGGTCACTCAAGCAAAGAGAATTGAACTTCAGAAAATTACCATGCTATGTTAACTCGTGTGAAGTCACTAGGCAGGCAAAACATATCAGCAAGACAGTGTCAAATTCCAAATTGATACTAGTTATTGTCCTAAACTCAAACCTGCCATCTTAACTAAGGGGGCACAATGAACATAGATGCATCACAACTAATGTACTAATATTTAAATAATCATGATTCTAGTGGCAGTTACATATTTCTAAAGAATATGCTAGAACTTAGAACCAAAGAAACAACTAAATTTATTATTGGTTGGTCTGCTTCCAGCCTTACACCATTGGAACGGAAAAGACATGGGAAATAGAACTTCAGACCTTTTTGTTTTGCAAAAAGAGAGCAGCCAACTAAAGATAATACTCAGCTAATACTACCTTGCCACTTTTTAAACACAAATTGTTAAGAGTGCCTTACAAACTATCATGGTTGTTCATCGTTCAAAACAGGAGAAAATCATGTGGGTCAATTTAGTCTACATTGACACTAACACATAACTTGACTTGAAAGGAAATGCTTGGTGTCAGAAGACAAACATAAGCAAATGACACATGCAACAAAAATTACTTGGTAGTAGGCATGACAAAATCCAATTGGAACACTGCTACACTGCTGAAGGTACTTGTACAATCAAAATGAAAATATACAGTGCATGCTATCTCTTTTTTTTTTTTTAAACAAACAAACTAGAGGTTATGGCAGATATGATTTGTCCATTGTAACTTGTGTCACTGCACTTGTTGAATGAACCAAGTGATCTTGGACCATAACTACCTTGTATATTGCAGATATGATCTACTTTGGCAATTCTCAAAGCCCAACACTGAATTCAAGATAAGGAGGTAGACCTCTTTTAATGAAAAAATGTTTCTTTATTCTTTAATCTAGAAAATGAAGAGAAACAAGGCATATCTACATTCATAAGAGACAGGCATTAGGGAGTTCTGGGCTGGTAGATGCACTACAATCAAACATGGCACACCATGGTGTATTTACTAATGACAGGCAGTTTATGTCCAAGATTCAAGAGGATGCCACAATCAGTTGTGGCAGTCTACTTTCAAGATGATAGTTCAGTAAATCTCCCAGTTCACAGATATAGAGATTTAGTTCAAACAAGATACATTGTTTTAATAAGGGAGATTTTCTGATACCCACATCTAAAAGTTTGAATCCAGTCATCTAATGGAATAGAATGAGATCCCTTTCCACAAGCATATATGAAGCAAAATAGAACTTATGCCATACAAACTGTAAAGCAATTTGAAGAAAATACAATTAAAGAGCACAGGCCTTTCCCTTCCCTTCACCCAGTGCCCTTCCAAATTATAAAACGTTTTGGCTTTTCTAGATACATTGCTTTTATTATGTATCTAGACATGGTGTATATCGAAGTGCATAGCAAAATGTAGGTATCTAGAAAAGCCAAAACGTCTTATAATTTGGAATGGAGTACAAGGGACCGCAACAAATTACTTCGAACAGAAATATATTCTTAGTTAAATGGTTACTAACCAATACATAGTCCATACAATCATATGATATGACAATGTTAATTAAAAACACATCAACATCAGTGCTAAGGGAAAATCACTAGCCTATGTTTTTTTTTTTTTAAAAGAACCATTTATTGGCTATAAATAACATTCGCCACTCATATATCCATCAATGTATTAATTTCATGCAATAAGGCCATCATAGTGTTTTTACGTGTATAAATGAAAGCGCATTTGCAAGAGATAAGCCCTTACAGAACGACAGGAACTGCAGTCAGAAACTTTCGGTTGCGTGTAAGCTGTTTGCCATTGTCCATTTGTTCCCACCATGTCAATGTGTTATACATCCCCTGGTCATCAGCAAATGGGGTCCCCTTCTTCCAGTGGAAAAAATGATAGGTGATCTGAAACAAATATTCAATGAGGCAAGTAATAGAAATGAAAAAAAAAATCTGGCTGATGACAGATCAAGAAACTTGCCAAACTGTAACCTTACTCGGCTAAGCAAATACAAATATAATTCTACTGTAATCATACACTGCTAGGAAAATCAAAATGTAATTCCATTTTCATAGTGTAAATTGTTTATTTGTCTGCTGTTGTACATGAACCATCAAAACTAAGTATTCTGCAGGGCATTGTTAGTTTCAGTACCAATGCATGTATCAAGTCCAAATCATACCGTAATATTACCTTCGGACCCTTGATTTTGCAAATGCAGATCAATAATAATAAGAAACACAATGCTCGCGGTGCCACTTTTGGTGTGCTAGTGACACCTCATTAAGCCTGGAAACAAGACGTTCCCATTCTACTACCATGAGTCCATGACAAATGCGATAACCACACAAAGATTCAGATAACTGAAACACTCACTCCATCAGACTGTAACAAAAGGAACACTGGGCAGCTATGTGAACTCTGAAGTCTGAACTAAGGCACCTAGGGCATATATAACTAAAAAGATCACTAACTGAAACTTGAAAGGACCAAAGGATGGCAATACACACTCTGTTCCTGCCAAATCATTTGTGGAACTATGAGCTGCCACTACAATGCAAACAGACCTTGGCTGCTGACCAGGCCACTGTTATGCACCCTAGTATTATTTGCCTGTACTTGGCCTCAGAGGAGCAAACCACTGCCTAAATTATCTTCAGTAATGCATAACCTCGAATGAATATTTAGCAGTTTAGGAATCCCAAAGTTAACGTTGCAAAAGGGATGAAATGCAGGTAAGCATAAAGGTCTGTAATCCCATCCAACAGACCAACACATATAGCAACAGCTACAGGTTAGAACTTAGAACTCATGATGTAGATGACCAAGCGTGGAGCCATTTCCTAGGAGTAAGATGGGCTTCAGTAAGATGCTAGAGCAACCCAACATTTAGCTAGTGGGAACAGCCGAAACCATCAGGAAATTTAAGCTAGGGAAGGATTTCATAGCCGCCACACGGCAGCATCCGGACACGAGCTATCGAACAAGCTAGTCACTACAACAGGCGGCGGACCTCAGATCCACGGGCGCGGCCCAAGCCAACGAGCAACCACAATCCCCATGGCAGACAGGAGGACGATAGCAAGGGGAACAGCAGGAGAATGTCGCCGTACGTACCGCGAAGTGACCGAGGTTGACGAGCGTCCACGCCGTGCCGGGCGCGCACCCGAAGACGGAGAGGACGAGGATCCAGCAGAAGAAGAGGATGAGGATGTAGGTGGTCCAGACCCCGGGGTACATGAACCACTCCGTGTTCCTGTTCAGATCCGGGGGCGGCACCGCCTGCACGTACAGCTTCGCCATCGAATCACCCTGCCGCCCCTCTCTGCTTCTCAGGCTCGACTCTCCCCGTCGGCTGCGTGCTGTGCTGCGGTCTGGGAGGGAGACGGCCCGCCTCGGGGCCGATTTATAAGGACGACGGGCGCCTCGGCCGTGCCGCCCTGGTCAGAGCAGTGGAGGAGGAAGATTCAAAGATGGGGGCGAAAAAGTATTGCGAGGCGGGCGGGCGGGCGACCGACGGGGCGAGGGAGGGTGAGCGGACGGGGAAGGCCGGAGGAGGGGAGGCGAGACGGTTGGCCGCTGCAGGAGGGAGAGGAGACGGTGGAAACGCGACCGCGACCGCGACCGCCACCGATCGGGTCAAACGCGACGGACGGGGGGCGGGCCGTGGGTGCTGAGGGAAGCAGCTGGGCTGCTAGCGGGCCGTCCGGCCTGTGAGCCCGTGGTCGCTTCGCGCTGTTTGCAAGTTGCAAACTTTGGTTTCCTTTCTCCGTTTCGTTTTTTTTTTTGAAGGGCCGTTTCGTTTTGTTTTGGAAAAATTACTATAGGGTCGAAAATTCTGGTTACCGTTCATGTTTTTTTTTACAACAAGTTACTGTACCGTTCATGGTTGGTAGGGCGTTTAGGAGCTGACCTCCGAATGGAGATGATGAGATGAACACGGCACGATGGTTCAGGGGGGAAACCAAACGGGCAGGCATGAACCTTTAAGGCTCCATCGTCATTTTCTTGGTCCTATTAATCCATTTTCTAAGGGCCATGATCTCCACGGATTAGTGGCGTTGGTTGTGCTGCAGCTTCACCAGGTGGACGTTCTTTGCAACTGCTGCCATCTGCAACGCGTGTTCGTTATTTCAAGGGCAAGAAGCACCGGTTGCTATCACTACCGGAAACTGGGTGTTTGCCGTGTGCGAGAATATTTGTTGAGTGTATTATATCGGGCACTTGCTTTAAAAAAACACTCGGCAAAATAATTGCACTCGACAAAAAAAAAACAAAAAACATTTGGCAAAATTTGGCACTTGGCAAACCAGGAAAAAAAATTGTCGGCAAAAGCTAGGCACTCGGCAAAGAACCGCCACGTGGACAACCGTTAGTCCGTGTGCCGTCCGTTAGTACGTTTGCCGAGTGTCCGTTAATAAAAACACTCGACAAAGAAATATGTTTGCCGAATGTAATTATTTGGCATTCTGCAAAGAAATATGTTAGCCGAGTGTATTTGTTTAGCACTTGACAAATAAACAAGTTTTTGTTCTCTTCTTGACCTTGAAATTTTTTCTGCTCTCCACATACAACATGTGGTACTCCATGTTAAGATTTAGTATATTTTTAGACTTGTTTGATACATTTAATTAATTTATTGTATCTCAAGAAATTTTTTGGTATAAGTCAAATTTGTAACTGCAAGTGATTCAAATAATAGAATAAAATGAGTAGAAAAATGATATTCATGTTATTAAGTCCATTGTGAGGCTGTACCCGGGAAATAAAAAGAAATTTCGAATATCTTGTTCAGGAAACACGACCACGAACGTGTGGTCGAATGGTTTTTAAATTCTAAAAAAAGCAAACGAAGTCTGAAAATCATGAGATTTGTCATGATGTGATGATATCATTCGTGGAGGCTGTGGTAAAAATTGAGAAGGTTTCGTACAATTTGTCACATGATATTTACAAACCGAAGCATCTCAGAAGACGAATCGTAGAGTTGAGAAGGATTCGATAAGATTTGGAGTCAAAGTGACGGTCAAATTGGGGTTTGCCTTCAAAACTTTTTATATAGGCAATAGAGAACATAGATTATTTCATGTAAAATTTTGGTAATTTTTTGGATCTGTTTGATAATTTTAATTTATTAAGTGCAATTATAGAATTTTAATTGATATAAATTAAATTTGAGCTGTAACTGCATAAAATAATAGAATAATATTCCTAGAAAAAACAAATATATATTGTTGAGTCAATTTGACAAGGTATTTTCAAAGTATATCGGAACAAATTGAGAAAAACATCGTCCTAGAAAGGAAGGAGAAGAAGAAAAATAAAAAAAAATAGGTTTGCCGAGTGCCCATTATCTGGCACTCGGCAAAGCTGGCATTTGCCGAGCGACACACCTGGGACGCTTAGCAAACCCCTTCATCGGCCCCACACACGCACAGTAGTTTAAGATTTGAAAATAAAAAAAATAAAATGTGTTTGTCGAGTGCTAGATCACGGACACTAGGCAAACCTCTTGATAACCACCCTAGGCCGGCCTCACCCACACACACAAACGCACACACACAGCCACCGCACGCACCTACGCAGGGTATTCGTCGACAAGGCGCAGCGTGTTAAGGCCGAGCTTTGGGTAAGTCTTTCTCGCACTATATTGCTCAATACATCGTATTGATTGGACATTCTTGAAATAATGACCGGATATATCGCGTCTATACGCAGGATTTCTTTAAATGCGAAGAGGGATATGAGGCCAAGACGGATGTTGTGGCTGACAAAGCCGCCAAGAAACTCGTTAAGGACATGCACTACGAGGCGCGCATCCAGGGCGTGATCCAATACCACGTGGAAATTCTTAGAGTGAGGCTCCCTAAAAGTGCGACAAGAACCATGAGGCTGACCCCGGAACAATATCTGAAGGTAAATATAGAATATTAATACTTATTTTTTCTGAGATTAATTACGTTAAATTTCATCTTCTTATATGTCATATACTCGATGACATAGGTGTCTCCATGGTGGTGCGCCTACGATCTGCAGTGCTGGGCCCAGATGGTGGATAGGTGGTGTGACCCCATGTGGGAGGAGAATCACAACGCTTGTCAGGAGCGGTGTTTGCTGATGCCGGGTACACCACACCATCAAGGCAACCTCAACCTCTCAGAATACGCGGCTAGATGGGTACGTGAATTTATTTCTTTATTTTAACGCTCAATTCTGCATAATTTCTAATCATATTGCTTTTTTGCAGTCGGCGGCACATGGTGGTGAGCCTTGCTCCTAGTTCATGGCATATGCTTTAGCCCACAAGGGCAAGGTGACGCCCGACGTCGCCTACAACCCGGAGGACCCGCCCTCGGCGTACAGCAACGAGTCCATCCATAGTCGCCTCGATGGATACACATCGATGGTAAGGGCGGTCCATGGCCCAGAGTACGATTCGAGCGCCCATGACCTTGATGGAGAAGTGGTCCTGAGGGCGGGAGGAGGCAAGAAGCATGGCCGGTTATGGATTAGCGATAGCACAATAGATACGGCCAGTGCTCCCACTCTTCCAGATTCGAGCACGGAGCACGAGTTCTAGCCCGGCGATACGCCCACGGTCGGACTCTACACGGTTTCAGATGACGCACTCCAGGTTATTTCTGTTTTATTCATCATTTATTGATTTTTACATACTTTTGCATTGCATTGTAACATTGGGATGAAATATTGTAGGCTCAGCTGGAACAAGAAACGAGGCGCCGGGAGGAGCTAGAGGCGAAGATGGAGGCTGAGCGACAGAGGATGGAGGCAGAGCGGCTGTAGATGTTTGAATATATGAGGGGTGTTTATGCTGCAATCGGTCAACCTCCGCCGCCGATGCTAATTCCCCCTTCTCAACCTGCTCCAGATACTGCTTCAGGCACTGTTAGTCACTTCACAACCTTATAATCATAGTTTCTAGTTTATGCAGAATCAATCTTACAAAGATGCCTAGACACTAGAAACTAGAAATAAACTAGAAAACTAGAAATAAATTAGAAACTAAAAACTAGAATGATTTATAGTTCACAAACTAGAAATAAATTAGAAACTAGAGTGATTTATCTTTTTTCTTTGTGCAGAATCAATCAGCGGCATCGAATGAGCCTCATGACCCAACGTGGTCACAGAGACATCGTGGCCTCCTTAGTGACTACTTGTGATTTTATTTGCATTTGCATTTGTAGATTACTTGTGACTACTCAGTGACTACTCATTGGACACCATTGCACTCATTGAATTTTATTTGCATTTGTGGTTGTGAATGAACTTACTTGTGATTCTGAAGTTTATTTGTATTTATGTGTTGTCGATATATCTATATGAACTGTATGTGGTGCTTATTGTGAATTATGTGTGATGCATGTAATGTTTATTTGAGTGGGATACGTTATACATGACCGAACCATAAAAACTAGAAATATATGATTGTTTTGCCGAGTGCCAAGTAAAAACACTCGGCAAAAAGGACACGTGGCCAAAATATGTACATTCTGGGCCAGTCTTTGCCGAGTGTCCGGGATTTGACACTCGGCAAAGCAGACATGTTTGCCGAGTGTCAGGGCTTGGGCACTCGGCAAATATGGCTGCTTTGTAGATTGTCAAATCCGGACTCTCGGCAAACGCGCGTAATCATCTCTGCGCCGTTACGTTACTTTTTTTTTTGCCGAGCGTTGGTTTCAGCTCTCGGCAAAGTATTTGCCGAGTGCCTAATAAAAAACACTCGGCAAAGAGACGTTTGCTCGGCACTGTAGATGTCGTGTGCTGTTTGTCGAGTGTTACACTCGGTAAATCCTTTGCCGAGCGTTTTTTGGGCTTTGCCGTCGTGCACACGACAAAGCTACTGTTTTCGGTAGTGTATAGTCAACCAAAGTTTTTTTGAATCAAAAGGACACGAGTTTTGTCCATCGTTTCAAGGGCAAGAAGCAACGAAGCATAAAAAAATATTTACATCGAGAAAGCGCACACTCTCTTAACTAAGTTTTCGAGTTATCGTCAAAACTCAAAAGTGATATATTTTAACTTATTTTTGTAAGTTTGCTATCCAATTTCGAAGAGCTAAGTTCATTTTTTTTTCATTCAAACTTATCTAACATTGATTGAAAAAGAAAACAAGTGTAGTTGCAGTGAGACAGTTCAGCGAGCTCTTTGCCCATAATACGTTCATATTAATCCTATATTTTAGATATATCCCTATACTTTTTTTTTCTGATAGGATATCCCTGTACTTTTTTTTTTCTTGAGCCTTTTACCCGTATGTCATTATAAAATATTACAATTTT